CTGCTGCTTTGCTGTGTAGTCTCAAATGGAGGTATTTGTTGAAGGAAACATTTTGCCACATTCCGCATTGCAATGTCAGCCTTCCTAATAAACCACGGTTGGTATGCATCACTCCCATCTGCCGCAACATCTCGAGGCAGCATATGTGGGTGGTAGTTGAGGCGCTTCTGATACATGTGCTTTGTCCATCATACCATATCGAGATAAGATGTTGCTGCCTCTTTATTATCTTGCTTCATTTGTGGACATGTTTGGCATGCGATATGATGGGATGTTCCTTCCACTTTGCTATTTCGCCTTTTGCCCCAGTAAATCAGTTTTTTCTTGCCACAGACATCACAAGGCAGTCCGATCGGTCCTGATATCGCTGCTCCAATACCAGAAGAAGCGCAGCACATGACGAAGTGTTCGATGTCTTCATAACGGTTAGGTATTTCAGCCAGTTTAGATCTGATTGCGAGGACATTTATAGTGAGAATGGAGCATCAAGAGCTGGCTGATCCAATTGGTACAGTGAAGGAGATAGAGCACGAGGGTGGGCTTCGATGCAAGGAGCTGCAACAGTGCGACTTCACGGTGCAGTAGAGTGACTGGTGCTTGCAAATGCATTGGTACAAACAGTTACCGTGTGCTACACAGGCAACTGTGCCAAGTGGGCGGAAAGTGGATGCTAGACGTCTTGAGCAAACGATGCTGGCTGCCTGCACTCAACCCGCTTTGCTTGCAGCACAAACTGCAAAATGCCTCACCTCACAGCTATTCTATCAATCCAATCTACGCAGACCGGGTTGTAAGGCGAAAGAAGCGGCATTGACACCATAGCTTCTTTTCCACCCGTCAAGAGAGGAAATTGATGTGTTCCAGTTATGGCAGACTGCCTCATGGCTGAAGTCGATGCAGAACTCAGGAAGACACGAGATGCTGGAACGGTTGCCTCTGCTCTCTTTAATCGCTAGTTTTGCCAATACACATTGCCCGAAGTAGTGCATATCCATCATGGCACCAATTTCGAAAGCAGACCCTTCATTCATCAGAACTCCATTACACGCTGTACAAGGTAATGAACAGTTTAACAAGTGGTGAAACTAATGAAGCCCCTTCA